CTAGATGGCGGGTCGCGCCTCTTCCAACGTCGCCCCAAACGAGCGAATTTCGCGTTCGGATGCCGCGCAGCAGCGAAAACGCTGCGCCAAACAGACCCTTAGTTATCAACGCTTTTATGACTAACCTTAATCAAAAATTCTCTTTCAATATCGTGAAGGATAATTAACAATAAGGACTTGCACCAATGAGAAATATTGAACTACAAATCAAAAAGTTATAACAAACTGAAAGTGAAATATCTAAATAATTTCTTATCTAGTATTTCATTTTCCTTCTGAAAATTTGACCTGTAACCTGAAGAATACTCTCATCATTCATTTCTCAAGAGGGGCCAGGGCATACAAATTTTTGGTGCTCACAATCACATCACCAAATGCACAAAAAATAAACAAATAAGTGAATTTATTTTAGAAACCAGCATGCCAGAAGAAAGCTTCAGTTTGTGTCCGATTTATCTTATATGCTCCATATTGCCATTCTATCTATTCAATTTGCTGCTGCAAGGAATAATCAGAATTACTGCAAAAGTATTTTCCTGGCTATGAGCATCAGCAATTTTCTGTATTTTTTGTGCATACAATTGGATTCTATATGACACTTTATGACGATTCTGAAATTGAGAGTTCAAAATTTAAACCTGTTGCCTAAGTAGCTAATGCCCAATCATCAGGCAATAAAAAATTGTTTATCGTAACGATTAATGTAGATGCTGTCCGGTTGTTGGAAACACCATACGAGCCAGCATTTTTAGTAGAAAAAAATAATGATAAAACTAATGAAAAAAAACCTCAAATGCAAACTCAAACAGTAAGAAAACATTTACCATCTCTGAATCGCAACCATTGTCATCAAGTTTTTTTCCCATTTTTATCATTTCGAAACATGTTCATAAACAAATCACTCCTATTGAGTTCTTGCATGGTTGTGTGCTTACTCTTCGAAGTTGTTCCCACATTCCCACACTCAATAATATATTTTGCTTTCTAAGGAAATACTCATTCCATCATCTTGAACAAGAGACACCAGTCAAACAATAATAAAATCTATATCATTTAAAATTAGTATCATCTGATATTCCACATACATTAGTAAAGTGCATCAAACATGTTCATACCATCATGATCTCTTACAGATACATTTTTTATTATTATTTTTTTAAAAAAAAAGTAATGACCAAAGTCTATTATACGAGTCTCCAGCCACTCCTAACATGCCTAAAATTTTGAGTACCACCACCTTAAGGCCACTAGAGGGGATTCGAACCCCTGTCCAGAGGGGTAGTACACCGAGGATGCCAACCAAATGGCCGAGGTACGCGGCACCTCTTACAGATACATATATATTACAAACTATGTTATAAACACCCCAACAACTCCTCTCCTCTTCAATATGAAAACCATGCCAAGGAAAAACACAAAGCTTAAAAAACTAACAAATGCAACAGTAGCAATAAATGAAATAGCTGCATTTGTGTTACAAAGTGCAGAAGCAACCATTATCTTCAGTTACCATTTCCTTTAATTCCTCCACCTTGTTGAGCCTCTCTGATGGCCTTCGCCCTCTCCAGCCTAGCAATGTTCCGCTCCCTGGCAAGCATTTTACCAAGGTATCGAAGCATCCTGCATTGGCTGGAGATGATCTTTGTTGTCGATGGAGTCTCGTTCAAAACGATCTCATATCCATCTCTCATTGAGTCCATGCCTTCAGTGAAAAGCTGCCAAAAGAGGCCACCTGCTGTTGCACCTCCAGTCCTCGCGGACTGGTAGATTTTCCGGTATACTGTGTTAAAAAGAGCATCTCTTTGGTAACTGCTGTAACCTGGATCCTTCCAAGATTTGCCAAACTCTGTTAAGAGAAGGGGCTTCTTGATAACATTGCTGGCATCTCGTATATGGGCATCGAGCCATTTGTTCAAAAATTGAAGTTGGGATTGATCAGTTGAGCTTGGTAACCTGAAAAAGACCTCAGAGATCAATTGTAAAATCAAAATAATGAAATTGTTTAGGAAAATGAAATATTATTAAGGGTTATTGCATATGAAAGAAATGGAAATAGAAAACAATCTCAAGCATATGAAATAACATGTGAAAATTTAATCGGGTCATATATTTCTGAACACTACAATAACTTACATTTTATATCACCACATGATATAAACAAAAAGATGAATTTTTTTAAGGAAATTTACATACCACATAATTATTATGTATTTACATATCTAACATCTAATTTTTCATAATTACATTTATAAAACTTCAATGTCAAAAACCTAGGCTTGAAAAGATGCACTTCACTTTTAAAAAGTTAAAAGTAATGATAATTTTTATGCAAAATTAACAATTTGAGTGTAATGTTTGTGCATATGAAATTGCAGGTGTTAGATATGGAAATACATAAAAATGGTGTGGAACATATGTAAATGCGCCTCTTTTTAACAAGGTCGATTATGCTCTATGATTCAGAATATTTTAATACTCCACCCTCCTTTTTCTTCTTTAAAAGCTTGCTAAACAATTTATTATTTAATGTTTAAAAAAATATATATATAGTAAAATCAAAATTGAGCAGATAAATATCATAGCAATGCTAAAATCAACGTAATTAACTTCTGTTCAGCCCACACTTGATGAGATAACTAAAAAAGCATTATGCATACTTAACAGAATTCAACTATTGCTCATTTTGCTGTTAGAGCATTACCATTGGTCTGGATATGAATGGAGTGTAGCAAAATCAATTCCTGGAATCAGATTATTGGAGATGAAGTCAGTTCCCACTTCAATGCCTGGATTTGTTTGCAACTCTGAGGGTGATTTAGGCCCATAAAATCCTTCAAGACCAGCTTCAAGCAAGTGATTGCTATCTATAAATTTTACATGAGCAGCCATTTCTGTGATCCATGTCTGCAATTAGAAAGCAAGAGCTGAATTACCATGACAAAAATTATAAACTGTAACAGATTATTGCTTTTCATCGAGAATAACTGTGGTTATTGTTTTTCCCATGCAAATGTAATGTTATGAGCATTTGTTCTGCAAAAATTCGTTGAATGTATCAGATACATAAATGGTCAGAAATGATGATTGGTGACTAATAAAATCTAGAATAAAAAGCATATTAAAGGCAATAAAACATTAAAGTGGTTATAAATTTCAACCTGTATGGTGTTCCCGGAGGTATCTGAAGGGCATCTAGGCTCATTCATGAGCTCCCACGCAAAGATGGTAGGGTCATCCTTGTAAATAACTCCGGATACGGTATTGTACCTCGTAAGCACAGTCTTCTTGGCAGAAATCAAGGAGTTATTAGTGATAAATCAATATTGAAGCATCATATATTATAAGCTAAGATACAAAGCTTGAAATGATTTAAACATGCAAAACAAGAGCAGTAAAAAGAATAAAATTCCTCGAAAGCCAAATAAAAAAGATACAGAGGAGTTCATACACATTTATAAACGTTAATTTAGAAAAATGTATGCAATCAAATATTATTATTGTTTTTGGTAAAATATCTTCTACACATCTTAAAGACAATATTCAGTTGTACATCTGTAATCTGATTTAGTGATTTAGGATGACTTCAGTTTTCTAGATTATTCTCTAGTGTTTGTGGCTTGACCTTGGTGAAGTTGACACTTTTTTAGAGAGCTCAGTCGTGCATGAAAGTTGCAGTTCTCATTATTATTACATAAGCTGAAGGTCATAAATTGAACTCAGCGCTTCGCCTTTTTGGCTTTAGACGTAATTTTTTTTTTTTATTCAGCGTTTGACTGTGTTTTACAGTTCCGACTTAATGCTCCTCATTAAAATGTTACACAAAAATGAAAAATAATTTCCTGAGGGAAATGAAGAAGGGCCAGAGGTGACAAAGGTAATAAAGAAAACATTAAAAAAATTGCTCAATCAGGAAACATCCTAGTAGTGCAAGAAATTGGAATCCCTGTGGTGCCATACATACAGTAATTTCTTCTGATCTTCATGTCTTTTAGACAGTAGGTATCCAGTTCCACTGCTTCACACAAAAGAAATGTTTAATGATGCTTGTGAAATTGATAGGTAGGAAAGAAAGATGAGAAAATCTATTGCAATGAATAATTTAGAGTAAGACATATTATTGGTACAATTTTCTTACTAAAAAGCAAAAAGTTATGGCTGAAAAATAAAAATTAAATAAAATAATATAGGCTCAACATCAGCAAGGAAGAATCAAAGGATTCTCATTGAAACTCATTTAATATAGAATTTTGATCAATCCCCCACCCGTCAAATAGAAAAAAAAATAATTAGAAAATGTGTCCTTTGCAATGGAGTGACCTAAGAAACTTAAGAAGTTCATAATTTTTTTAATTAATTATTCAACAATAATTGATTTCTATCCTTCCAATTTGGAAGAATCCAAAAAGCTTATCTCAACTAGAAAATGGTTATTTAATCCATCAGCCAACGTGAGGCTTGTGAAGTTACAAAAGGTTTTCTCTTAAGCAAAACGAAGAGTATGCCAAACAAAGTAAAAAGAAAGGGCAGCACCATACATTCCTTGCATTAAAAAAGGTAAACAATGATGAAAAGCAACACACCAACTGCTATTTTCAGGTTCATGCTTGTGAATTCACTTAGTTTGGTAATGACTGCTGAACTCATAATAGCTTCCAAATGGAAGATCTTTGCCTCGACTCAATCAAGATGGTTTTCAATTGGGACTTAATTTCCATGTAAAAGTATAGTGTAACTTTTTGGTTGATTGTGCGTTTTATTATTATTTTTTATGGTGCTCAAAATTTGTTGTAAAGAAGAGAATAGCTACCACCACTATATCAATGTAATTTTTTTATTTTTTCCTCAACATTTTTGCAGCTCAACAGAAGCAAAAACATAAAAATAACTCTTTCTCACAGCAGGCAAAAATACCCAAGGTTACATTTTACTGCATTTTATCAAGAATCCCAAGTACATATACTAAAAATAAATTGAGAGAAACAACAGAAAGTTCCCAGAAAGAGAGAGAGAGAGAGAGAGAGAGAGAGAGAAGTATCTGTTGTTGAATTTCATTCTTAAAAAAAAAAAAAAATTAAATATACTCTTGATATATGATTTGATCATCCACAAACAACATAAAATATTACAAGCATGAAACAACTTATAAAAATTTAGGGAAGAGATGACTGGTGGAGGAAAATAAATAAATAAATAAACAATTAAATTTTTTTTAAAAAAAAATTCTCCATACCTTAACATGATTCTTAAAGTATCCTTTAACAACATTATTAGTGAAAAACTCATCATCAGATCCAATGTTCTGCCCTTGATTTCTAGCCCACTGCACATACTGCTTCTTCCCCCCAAAGTTTTCGTAGTTGTTCACAAAACTCAGTATAAGCCGGATCCCATACCTTTTCGCCTCAGAAATCACAAAATCCAAACCCTAAGCAAAGCAACACAAAATCCATGTCAGAAAAAATAAGACTGCAAATCGAAATAAATAATTAAAGGTAAAAAAAAAAGAATGAAAAAGATGTGAAAAATCCTTTAAAACCTTGAACATTTGTTCATTGTATGATCCTGGAGAATACTGTAAAGCATTGTTGCCACCGTCATTGAAAGCCCAAGTTCTAGCTACAGTGAGTCCATGGCTCGAAGCTTCTCTGAAGGCGTTGGAGACTTTAGCTCTCTGAGACGGATCTGATGCTGTGTACATGAGCCAGTAAGCATTAAACCCATTGGCGAAAAAAGGGTTCCCTTGAAGCTCAAAATGAAGTCCCCTTGTCCTTATTAAGTCTCCTAACGCTTGAAATTGGTGACATTGGGACAGGAGAAAAATCAGAAACACTCCTATAATACTTATCCTTTCCATCGAAGCCTTGTTCTCAGTGACTGCTAGGAGGAATGCCAGAAGAAGAAAGCTTGTGGGTCTTCAAAACCTACCGTCTCTCACTCTCTCTCTCCATTCGGAACAGAACCAAACAGGTGATGTGTGAAAGTTTCAGCTGAATTTTCGGCTCTCGCGCTCTTAGATAAGTAGCAGGGGCAAGCAGTTAAAAAAGAGCGTCAAGGTTGAGGTTTTACCAAATTAATGCTTTACAGCTTTACATTATTTTTTATCTGTTCCATTTGGTTTGGTTAGTTGATATTCTTGGAATGACCGATAACAACGAACAGACAAAATATTGGATTTTATATAAGAAGCATTCACATACACAACACCCACAATTTTTATGTATGTAAATGCGTAACACCTAAATTTTATTTTTTATATTTACATCACCAAAATATTTTATATCAATCAAAAATACATGTTATGTTCTTATTAATTATTTTAATCATGAATGAATCTTGATATATATGGCGAGTGATAGTTCTAATATCCAACTATCTACACTTTAATTGAAGAAAAAGTGTTTTGGTAAGACGAAGTAGAAGACATCAAACATGGTCTTATCTGAGCTCAAGGGAGTCCAGATTGTGCCCTTGTAGTATAATAGAAAGCTTAGATATATATTTTGGTGGACAATAAGTTCTTCAAATCTAATAAGTTTATAATCAAATGAAACATCTCGATAAGACAAATCCAACAAACACGAGATCATTTAATTCTAACAACATTAATGCTCATAAATAATAATTAAACGTCATATGATCAATTGGGTTAGCCTGAAGTATTCGATGTAATTGTCCAGATTTATTTAATATTTATGGAGGATGTCATTTACAAAATCTATAAATAAACCTACTCTATTCATGAAGTGAGACATGAGTCTAGAGTAGAAAGTTGAATGAAACTCCAAGCTCTTGTAGATTAATGAGCTCCACAACCACAAAACCAATGTCGTCTGATTGTTGTCATTATCAGACCACCACCGCCCAACCACCACTATTGTCACCATCATCATCGTCACTGTAATTGGGTCGTCCTTACCTTCAGACCACTAATACCAGGTCGTCGCCGCCTCTATCGCCGGAACACTGTTGTTTGATCACAACTGTTACCATCTTAGTACCACGACTAGCAGACCACTCTGCAGTCACGCCGCCAGACAATTGTTGTCCAACCACCTTCTTCAACACCACCGTCGTTGAGCTGCCATCATTGTTATATCCAATACCAATGTCATCTCATCGCCATCATGAAAGAATCATCACTCGAATGGCACAACCACCGTTAGACCACCATCGTTGGTGACGCTAGCATTAGACTTTTGTTATAAGGCCCCTATTGTTAGCTTTCCAGCACTATAATCGGGTCACATCCACTTACTCAACGTGTTTTGCTACCGCTTTAGTGAAAGTCAAGTTAGTCGGTAACCCCGACTTGTGTAAAATTGCTCTCGACTATTTAAGGGCCAACAAATTTTATAGCTTACATCAGCCTAGTGGAATCATTCAAGTGGACCTGGACCTATAATTTTTTTCCCATTTGAGTTGTCAACATAAAAAACTCTTGTTGTCTTCTCTGTCAAATTTTTATTATTTATATTGGATCTTTGTAAGATATTAACACTCTACCACTGTGAATTAATCAACACACAAGAATACTTTTTAAAAGTAAAATAAATATTTTTCATTTTTAGATGAGGTAGCATAAATGTAAAGTTAAATCAATTTTTATATTAAATACGTATATCTCTAATATAAAAAATTTCATATTTGATATCTAAAATTTTATATTATTGCAAAAACATCACTGCAATGTATCCCTAACTTTAACTATTTATCCCTATATCAATTCTTATTCTAGAGCATAGTCTAAACTGGCGAGGATGCACTGAACTTCTCCATGGCACAATAGCCCCACCCACTTTTAGTAGTCCATCGACATGCTAGTCGTTATTGATTTGTATGCTCAACAATTTTTTTTGGATCTAATACAAAATGTAAGAACCGTTGCACCTTGTCGTTTTCATGAGTTGCAGGTATGCAAAATATCTGCTTATTAATAATTAAATGGGCAGTGCCTAATTCAGGACAAAAAATCATTTTGATCTGCTAATAATTTTGTTGAAGTTCATATTAAAACCTCACTTAAGTGCTTCCAACAAAGCAAGTAGTTTTATATATGTCTTTGAGAAAAAAGGTTCGTCATAGGAGTATTATTTCAATAACAAGACTTATTATATGGATTCTCATCAAATTAAGTTTTATGAATAGAAAGCACATTATTTATCTTGAGGATTTGTTGGTGTACATCAAAAACATGCCAACACGAATGACGATATCATCACATGAACAACAAAGGAACTGGAGTGGGCTCACATGACCCACCGTGGACGGCCCGAGACTATATGATCGGCTAGCTTATTTCCCTTATCGTAAAGGTAGGGCTTCTCTGGCGGACAGAAAAGAATTACTCCTGAGGAACAGGTGGGTCAGACCCCTGCAAGTAGATCCATTGCCTCCCAATTTATATCAAATTCAAAAAGGAGAACTAGTCCATCAAACCCAGGGCAACTGGCACAGTCTCTTGAAAAATTGGACTCTCGGCAAATAATCACTCGATCACGCAATTGATCAGCCCTACAGTAGCCTATTTCAATAAGACGTCGAACAAATCTATCTGCTTGCCCCGCGAGCTAAATTTACTAGGGTACCTCTCCATATCAAGGCACTACAGAGGTACAAGATGAAAATTTAGACTAATAACCCTCTATAAATGGGAATCCCATCACATGAATCGGAGGGGAGATGACGCAAGTTTACTGTGGAGTACTCACCCTCCCTTTAACTCTTTCACTTTATGGATGTCGAGTACTCTATTTCTTAGGCGTGCCCCTGACAGATTTGGATTCAACATCCTAAAATATGCAATTAGCACATTGCCAAGAGTCAGCAAGAAAAGGAGCACAGAGATTTTAGAGAGAAGGGAGTGGCCAAAGAATACTAGCTAATATAGAACCCTCATAGTACAACAATGAGGAACACATGCACAAAAAAATGCAATAAATAAGTATCCAAATCATGGAGCAGGCGAAGGGCTAGATTGTCAAGGTTTTGAGAGCCGTCACAGTCCTAGCAAAAGTCTGAACCCTACAAGAACAGAACTGACCTTAGTACGCATCGTCAGTGCATAATGGTCAGGTCTGGAGGGACCCGCTAACTCATAATACCAAGATAGCGCAAGATCCACGGATGTAGAGAAGCAGCAGTCATGATGCACTGAAGCGCCATGAAAACTGTTGAATTCTTATTCCCTCCAAATATCTGGGGCAAAACCTTCGAAACAATTCAAGTCGTCGGCTTTACAAGACTACATAGGACGGTCGGACCCCAACGACCATATCGTTGTATTCGAGTTGGTCGTGTGCTTACTCAAAATTTTTAACATGTTTAAGTGTCGTCTCTTCTTTACAGTCATGAGGTCTTCACCCTTGAGGTGGTCCCATGAACTTCCAGCAAGTTGCAAAGGAAGCTTTGCCAATGTCAAGAGGTTATATTTGCATAATTTGCTAGCGCCCGGAGACTCACCAAGAGAATTCAATCCTTGTGGCAGCTCATGCAATGAGAGCACGTGAGTCTTTGTGCATTCATCGCACTCTTCCAAATAGAGATTTAGAGGTAAAAGACCTCAAAGTTGGCACAACCGTCACCGCTTTAAAGCAAGCCTCGTGGTTCAAGAGGTTCTCCTGCAATCACGATATAAACCAACACTTGGACTTAGCGAAGCTATTGGAGAGAGCCAACAAGCACATGTTGGCAGAGGAAAGCACCCCAAGCGGGAACGAGATGGTCGCCCCACCCAAAATAGAAGGCCAGCCCTTCCAAAAAAAAAGGAGGAACGTGACGGTACCAAAAACACAATGAACTGATGAGAAACTGAAACCCTTAGCTTAACCAATACTACGAAAGGATGACACAACATTACCAGCAACCATATGAGGATTGCAAGGTCCTACAATCTACTCCCCTAAGGGTGTCAATGGCAAATAGTTTGGATGCCATAAAAGATAAAGAATGCTTTATGGAACCAACATCAATGAGAGCCAGAGATTTCCTCTAAGATGCCAGAAAATTTTACAAGTGCCATCGGGATCATGATCACGACAAGGAGAGATGCAAACACATCCAAAATCTTACCGAGGAGTTAATCAATGTTGGGAAGCTAAGAGATTTTGTGGCCACAGGGCATCTAAGCCGGAGACAAGAAAAAGTGTCAACACTGGAGGCTCCACCGAAACATAACCAAATAAACATCATCCATGTCACGGGAATAATTTCATGAATGATTTTCTCCTTTCCTTCACCATACTCCCAACCATTGTAATCTGCGCATGGATGATCTTAGATGAAATTTACTTTCCATTTATTTTAGATCTCTCACATAATATTCCATTAAAAATACTTGCAAATTAAGTAAGTGCAACAACAACAGAAGATCTAAGACAAGCCTGGTTTAGCATTAATTGAATATAGCCAGTCATGACCCCAAGATCACTTGACTGAGCATAAAATGAAGACAACTAGCCATGGCACTAAGATCATCAGGCTGAGAACAAATGAAGACGGTCGACAATGGAACCAAGATTATTATGTTATGATTGAGCATCAGACAAAGATGGCTGGCTGTGGCATCAAGATTGTCGGACTAAGCATTAGTGAAGGCATCCAATTGTGGTACCAAGATTGTGTGGTACCAAGATCGCCTGGGATGAGCATCAAATGAAGATAACTAGTTGTGGTGCCAAGATTACCCGGTTAAGTGTCAAATGAAGACAACCATCCATGGTGATAAGATTTCCTAACTAAGGATCAAATAAAAACAATCAGCCGTGGTGCCAAGATAGCTTGATTAAGCATCAGATGAAGACAACCAACTGTGGCACCATGATCGCTCGGTTGAGCATCAAATGAAAACTATCGGTTGTGTCCCTAAGATCTCTCATCTAAGCATCAAATAAAAATAGCCAGTCATGATGTCAAGATCGTCCAGCTAAATACTACAAATAAATAGCCAGCTGCGGCAAAAAGATCACCTGGCTGAGAATTACATGAAGGCGGTTGGATACTTGTGAAGGCCAC